TTCCATATTAGATTTTTTTCATCAAGCCTGATCGGAGAGGTGGATTCGATATATCGCTGTCCAAGATGTCACCAAACTGCAATAAACGCATTAGCAATGGAAAAGTTCATTTTTACGGTTAAAGTTACCTAGCAATAAAGCTTGAAAATTCAAAACGTCTACATAATCTTTGGGATGGATTTTTTCTTTAATGCAACAGAATTTTAATTGAAAATTTAATTTTCAACATGTACCGTGATTTCAGAATCATTCTTAAAATTAGATTAAAGTCTTCTCGTGAATTCCCCGCGACATGCGGTGGCCAATCCCGAATAATTTCTCAATCGAATTTAATTTGCCTTAGCAGAATGATTTCGATTTATTTAATGGTAATTAGTATTATTTAATGAACGAAATAATGAAGAAAAAATGTGAGAACTGAGTGAAGTTTTCTTGATATTGGAACACAGGAAGTAAAGCAGAAAATGATCGGAAAATTGTCAACTCAGAAAATGAATAGGTAATTTAGTCCAAACAATGCAACAATATTTCTTACTCACAGCACGAGCAGAGAGAGGACGTAGCATTAATCCGATTGTTTGCAGGGGCCAAACTGGGTCAGGATGACCCACAAAAAGGAACAAGGTCACCACTTTTCGTACAAACACATCAGTCTGTAACGACTCAGATGTCAGCGACGTGACCTCTGGAAAAATATGAACTGCGAGCTGCGCTGTTGCAATTTATTTACAAAAATGTTTTCAGCGTTTATTTGAAATATTATTCTTTAAAACGCAACGAATGGGTTGGGAAGGCCATTAGTTTAATGAATCTCGTTGAGCAACACCCAATGGCAACGCAGCGTTGTAACGTAATTAAATTCCGAATTAATCGTGAATAAAAACGTGAATTCGAAATGGAATATGGCCGGAATTGTTACTGCTGTGAATTCGCCATATATTGCATCAATAAAATCCATTTTGGATTTGATATGCATTTGCTAAATAGAATTAGTTTCGATAATAGATATTTTAGTAATGATTTAGCGTAATTTATTTTCAAAATGAAGATTATACTATTTATCATTTGTCGGCTTCCAACAGCAACGATTGGCTGATTGATCATTGCCAGAAAATTATTGAAAGCTTGCATTGTTCTAACATTGTTACGGGATGATACGCTTTAAAAAATGTAATGACATTAAACTGTTTTTTATAACCAATTATGTTTCACAGTTTGTCTGTAAATAAGTTCTAGAGCTAATTGCATTACTATTATAACAAAAATTGCGTTTATTTAAGCGATTTGTTGCTTGCATATAAAACAAAATTGTTATTTTGAATAAAAGGTAATTTGTAGATGCAAAGTTATTTTATCCTATACATGTTGTCCGACGCGTATATTTGAATAATTTGTTACGAAACGTTCATTTTTACTTAATTAAAGCTTATTTTACCATTCCCTGTTGGATCGAATTTTGATGTTTGAAAATCATTCCTTTGTTGATTTCAAAGGACAGCAAATTAAAAAAGTTTAAAATTATTAAATTTGAGTTATTTATTTTCCAACACTTCTCATTAACTTTGCTTCCTGTTGTTTGTTTGTTTGTTTGTCTGTTGCAAATCTTATAAATGATGTTCAGCACGCTTCTACCTGTCCAATCGATCCGAAATATCGTACACTTGCGTAAAGTCGGAGACAATGCTTGAATCAATTGACAAAATATATAATCTAAAAAAGTAAAAGAAATTTCTATTACATAAATTAAGAAACTATTTTTTGAATATTTAAGAAGAAATTAAGAAATTAATTGAACATGTGTAAACATCGGAGACACAGCCTCTTTAGTAGTGTTGTTTTTAAAATGCAATTTTTAAACGCATATTGTTAATCTTGCAGACATGGGGAAAATCAACCTTAAAATGTCTAATGTTCAGGATGTGAAGCTATCCATACTTAGATATGTTCCTTATTTTTGTAGATTTTGAACTGTTCAAATTGCACGTCATGACTTCAGGTTGAACTTCGGCAGATTGAATATAATGAAAGTATCTCATCAATTGATCAGTTGGGAAATTGTGAACACATCACTTTGTTATGTATTCCCATAATTATTTTCAATTATTATCATCATTAATTATTATTATCAGCATAATAACTACTATTATTGTGTTCTCACCTCTCGGTTTATGACGTTTACGTTTGTACACATTTTTCTGGGGAACAATCCTAATTAATACATCTTTATTGTGGTTTTTCTTCATAATAATTTGTTATTTTTTTCCTTATAAAATATTACATGATATCAGGTTAAGTTTCAATGAACGATTTTAATGATACAGGTAAAAAAATGTATGTATATGGGTTCAAGTTTGAAATTGTTCAGTAATAATTTTTCATCAAGTATTTTTGGAATATAATATTCCTTCGACATTCGTCTGGAATTTATAGTTAGATTATGTACGTATTGCTTGGAAGAAAGCACTATGAAAGCGGAAATTATCTATCGTTCTGCGGAAAATGAGAAATTGGGATCTTTTTTTCAACTTTTCACACGGCATGGAAATTAATTTATTGACATTGACATTTTATTGGATCGCCGTCCCTTACGCGAACGCTATAAACCTCATTGCATAATTGAATTAAATTTTACCTTGTGATCCTAATAAGAAAACTGGTGATTTTTTTATAAATTTTTATCCCAACAGATTAAGTAATATACATTTGTATACAGAAAAATTCTGGGAAAAGTATTATTAAATACTCAGAATTCATATTGAAAAATCAATTTCGACACGAGACAAATGAGAATATATTCCAGTTATGAGAAAAAAGTTGTTTCTTGGCTTATCTCGAGCCTAATTAGATTTTTATGGAGTCAGAACGGGACGAGTTTGGAGTTAAATTACATTTTCGTCTTCCAGCGAGCGGGGAAACTGAAAAATGCAATCCTGAATAATGAATAAGCGAGAAAAGCTTCCACCATTGAAAAACTGCGCGTTATTTTCCCTCACCGTGACAACTAACGAAGAAACTGAAAAATATTCTGTCATGCTTAAGCTCCATAAAAAGAAAGGAAAGGATCCCTGTTAGCGGCGGACTTTCTGCAGGCGGAAGAATTTCTGAGTGACTTCTCGAAGAGGAAGCCTGCAGAGTGAGGCAGTACAGAGATGCCTTGCAGAGTGAGGCAGTACAGAGATGCCTTGCAGAGTGAGGCATTACAGAGATGCCTTGCAGAGTGAGGCATTACGGAGATGCCTTGCAGAACGAGGCGTTACAGAGATGCCTTGCAGAACGAGGCGTTACAGAGATGCCTTGCAGAGTGAGGCGGTACAGAAAGGACTTGCAGCGTGAGGCATTGCAGAAATGACTTGCAGAGTGAGGCATTACAGAAATGGCTTGCAGAAATGACTTGCAGAGTGAGGCATTGCAGAAATGACTTGCAGCGTGAGGCATTGCAGAAATGACTTGCAGAGTGAGGCATTACAGAAATGGTTGCAGAAATGACTTGCAGAGTGAGGCATTGCAGAAATGACTTGCAGAGTGAGGCATTGCAGAAATGACTTGCAGAAATGACTTGCAGAAATGACTTGCAGAGTGGGGAAGTCTTTAGTTGTCCACAGGTTGGGGCTAAGTGGCGAGGGGAGTACGAATGGTTGGCTCTGAGTAAACGTGGCAGACGCGCGAATATTCGCGAGAAAGAGTCCGGCAAATACGGGAAAAATGTTTCTGACGGTGAAATCTGAAATTACTTTTTTTTCGCGAAGTGAGAAGTTCATGTATGAAAAAAGTTTATACAAAAATTTCTGTCTTAACAACAATATTATACTCTGAGAAAAGTTAATGTATCATTTTATCTAAACAGTTTCTAACCCGCAGCGTGAGCCGAGAATAACCGAATGCCATACTCTTCTTTGCCGAGCCAAATTGTGTCAGAGAGACACATTTCAAGGAAAAAAGTTGCAACGATATTCGGACAAAGTCTCACTAATTTCTCAGAGTGCACAGGAAGTGGAGGTAGCTTGAGGGCCTTTACTGAAGCGTGTTGTTGTTGAGTTGTGTTACATTCAAAGGAAATCTGAAGAAATCGCTCTTACAAAATCTTGAAAATAGGATATTGCGAAAATTGTACCCTAGTAATATAAAAAACATCACATAGCATCGCTTAGATGATCCTAAAATTATAACAATAAAAAATGTAGGTATTTATTTAGGTAACGGGATCTTGACTCGAAATATATCTATCATTGCGTTGTAACTAATTGATTATTTGGGGAAATTATTGCCTGTGTTATCGTTTTTCAAACTGTAGATAATATGAACAATTAAGGTATTCTAAAATATTATGTGCTTATTATGAGATATATAAAAATAATGTATTGTCTTACAAATCTAAAACGAATGCCTTGCCTAAAGTTCGAGTTGAGCCGACAATAAATTTGAACTTGTGACAAATTCAGAGAAGAAGAATTTCTAAAAGAAAATTATTCATTTATTTTTAATAATCTCTGTTGCTTCTGAGATTTGAAGTAGTAACTTCAACCGAGAAATTGAATCAAGAGAATTATGTTGCATTGTTCTTTCTCGTAAGGGGAAAGCATAAAGTCCATGCAACGTGACTAGATAATTTATTGAATTTATTTCAGTTAACCTTGAAGCCTGGCAGTGCACAAATGACTGTAAAACTACGTCGGCACCGCACTTATTTTGCCGGCCTTCTGCAGAATCGATTTATTCTATAAATAAAATAGAACAACAACTTTCTATTAAGATCATAAAATGTTTGCAGTTAACATGCGGCAATTGAAACCCAAAAATAATAGGTCTGTTCAGTATTATACGATTTTCAGTTACGAGCGGTGATTTATACAGAGTCATGACTCAATATCTGCAGTGTGGTGACCAAAGTGTCGCTGACGTTAACTCACAGCGCAGGAGAAAAAATCTAAAGAAAACATAAAAAGAGAACATTATTCTAATATTTTAAATCAATTCATAATATAATTATATTTAAGACTCACAGGGATGTCGCTGAGAGCAGTGAGGGCAAGCCAGGGTCGCGTAGCACTAGCGGTGCCTTCTTGAGGGAAACCCTCGTATGTGTCCAGGGACCTCAAGCTTCTTATTTTTGAATGCAGCGTCGATCGTTCAGGTCTTTTAAGTATTCTTTTACTTCCTAAAATGCCTTCTTGGACACCAATGTCTAATTTATTAGGATTTTCAGGAAATTCAGGGGAATGCTTTCTTTGCGAATTATCTTGCACAAGTTGGCCATCGATATTGATGTTGAATCTTTTCGCGTTTGGCAGGTCATCTTGGGAAACGAACCAAAGTGAATTTTTCGGTTCGCTTTCTTCGTTGTTACTCTGAAAGTCACTGGAGATTTCTTTAAACCCCTGATTGGATTTTCCTACTCCGTCTTTTAATTGATTGAATTCTAAAATTTTTGCATGTGATTTTTTATTCATATTCATAAAATCCATCATGATTTCCGGATGTAGGTTGCTGGTGCGATCGTATTCAAAACTGCCGTTGAAATTTTTGCGCGGAATATCTTGGACTTCTGATTTTTCTTCATGAATTTGTACTTCGGCATTCGATCTACGGTTCGGTGTTTGCAATCCCGAATTTGAATTAAAATGGTTTGTCATCTTTGAATTAATTACATTGCTTTCCCAAGCTTTTCTTGGAGTTTCTTGTTCTATTGAGTGCTTTCCCATATCCATTTTCCCATCAATTGGTTCAAAGGCTACTGTTTTTTCTCTAAAGCGATCATTATTGAAATTGCTCATTTCAGATTCCTTGTTGGATCCAACATTGAGTTTTCTTGTGCTGCTTCCAAAAATTTCAATTTCCTTCATGGAATTTTGTCTGACTTCATTACTGAAATATTTTCCTCTAGCATATGGAGGGCTGGCCCCTTCATCCTCGCCGCCAGAGCGTTGGTTCTTTCCGTTCACAAGTTCAATCAAGTAATCATGTTGTGGTTCAAATTGATCGGTCACAGGTAGGGATTGGAAATAATTTTTCTGGCTTACACTTGAGTGCTGAATGTTGCTCGTGGCATGATTATTTTTCTTCCAATGTTGACCTAACTTTTTAAGTTGATTTCCGAACTGTAGAAGTTGTTCGGCTAGGTTTCGGTGGTCAGTAGAGAGCTGAGTATTGCTAATATTCAGGAGATGGAGCAATGTAGCGAATGATCCCACTTGTAGCATCAAGAGAAGTGCAAATAACACAGCTGTTGATCTTGTAACATCCCAGCCTTTTTTAGAACTTACAGGTTCGGGTTCTTTGACATAACCCATACCTACGTATGATGGCAATGTTAGAATATAAATTACAAGTATGATGATAGATAATAATATCTGCGCTGAATTCTAGTAAATTGCAATTTTAGACTATAGCTGATTGTCTATAGAGTATCATCGAAAGAAATATTATAATAGATAATAGTATCTTTACTATATTCAAGGAGCTATCAAAGTTAGATTGTAACCTGCAATAATAAGAAAAAATTCAGCGACACTATGACTACATAATAATATTATGTATGCTTAATTGGAAGAACTGCCAGCGTTAGAATATTATTTGCAATATTGAAAATAAATTTTCGAAGTAAATGTGACAATATACAGGGTGGGGCAGAACCGATTGAGCAGTTTTGAGGCAAAATAAAAGAGTAATGGAGGTACATAAAGACGAAAGTTTATTTTCCTCGAAGTTAGCATAACATACCACTTAGAATAATTTTGTTTTGAAAACAATTTCAGGAAGATAGTGGTCGTTAGCTGCAACGCACTGTTGGAGCCGTTCTCGGAAGTTTCCTACAGCACATTCACACATATGGCGAGGTATGGCCATAACCTCAGCCACAATCCGTTCCCTTAGCTGTGGTAGGGTGTGAGGGCGACTTCTGAACACCCTTTCTTTTAGATGTCCCCAAAGAAAGAAATCGCAAATGCTCAAATCAGGTGACCTCGCAGGCCACTGTAAATCAACCCTCAGAGACACCAGACGTCCGGGAAACATGCGTTTCAAAACATTGAGTGACATTCGGGCTGTGTGAGCTGTAGCCCAATCCTGTGGAACCACACGTCTCCCAATGCTTCATTTTCAACAATGTTTTTCATCATGGGCTGCAAGAAATTTTGCAACATTGCAGCATAGCGATCGGAATTCACTGTCACGGTTACTCCCTCCTCCGAGAACGACTCCAACAGTGTGTTGCAGCTAACGGCCACCATCTTCCTGATATTGTTTTCAAAACATAACTATTCTAAATGGTATGTTATGCTAACCTCGAAGAAAATAAACTATCTTCTTTATGTACCTCTATTACTCTTTTATTTCGCCTCAAAACTGCTCAATCGGTTCTGCCCCACCCTGAATAATAATGTCTGTTCTGAATTCAGGGGCTGGTACGTTCAAAATGCAACTTGCAGTTTAGTACAGGAATTTTCAACTTTGATGTTTTACAGGTGGTAGGACGTACCAATAATTTAATTCATTTATTATGTCACTCAACTGAGACAATTGAAATGATTTACTGTAAAGCTCGTTTAAAATGTCATAATGTCTTCAGTTCTGTGAATTTTCCGAAATAACTTTTTTCTATTGCTTACATTAGACATATATTACTTTATAATAGTTTAATGGTGACTTAATGAAATCAATGTGAGAAACGCCTAGATAAAAGTTATTATTAATCTAGCATGGAAATCCCGACTCCTCTTTTTTGCGAGCTAAAAGTTTTTTTTTGCGTATACTAAAATAAAGGCTTTTATGTACGGCTGTTCCGTGTATATTAGTGATGAGAATGTATTTTTGGGACATAGTCATCGAGAATATGGTCATAATGTATTTTTAATACATTGGCATTACAAATATGGTAACAAGGAATTTTTAATACATTGAATGGCCCATAATATCTTGTGGTGAGTGAAAGTGTTATGGAACTAAAATGTTTGTCATAGGAACTTGAAAAAAATGTGTGAAAGAATGAATATAGTAATTTTCAATGCTTCCTCATTTCATATGCATTCTATCATATCCTATAATTGATCACTATCGATGAGAGAAACAAGAATGAATAATTGATTGATAAATGATTATATCGGCAAGCTTATAATAATAAGCAAATATATATAATAAAGTTAATTATATCATGTGAATTATTGCGTGCGTAAATTGTGGGGTAATATTTCTTCGAAAAATCTCGTCTGGATATTCTCTCGCAAAGTGGAAACATAATCATTTGAAAAATTCGAGTAAATTGATTTCTGATGGAATAGACCCTGGAGAAATTTTATATATGTATTTGAATTAACCTTCATTCATGAAATGATTCATTATTCAGGTATAAATGCAAAAAGTTACTTTAAATGTGGTTTCCAATAAAAAAATTTTGAATTGTTTAACAATCATAAAATTTTTAAAGCATTTTAGAAGAACATTGTAATTTTTTCTGTGATGTCTCGAATGTAGTTTTCTTTTTCTCAAAAAACATATTTTTGGAAAAAATAGTTGTGCATTTTCTTAAGAGTTCTACTGTGCCAGTAACTCGACAGTTATCAGTATTTATCTAATCATATTTTTTTATATCGTTGTTTATCAAATTTCAATATCATTCATCTAAAAAATACATACTGAAGAGCTCCTTGAATATTCCCAGCAGCTTATTCACCTAATCAATTGTTAAATTGATTAAGTGAATAGTTGGGTAGACACCGGCACGCACTTAATCTGATTAAGTATTTAACAAAGATTAGTTTCTAATATAAAAAAAATGTAATCACTGCGTAGGGACCAATTTCAGTTTTACCAATCCCATGATGACCAATTTCTGTTTTACAAATTTCGACCAATTTTAGTTTTATCCAATGATGCAAGGCAAAGCTGGAAATTTCAATTCCACCAATTTTGGCCAGACCGAAAAATGTCACACAACACAATTGCAAAACATTTTTCGTGTTAAGACTGCGTCACGTTGTTGATTGACTATTGAATTAAATTAACAATTAAATCTAAAGTCTCAGACGTAAAGTAAGAATTAAAGTCTCGTACTCTCTTTCATTGCTAACTCTAAATATCAACTTAATTTCTGGTGTTGTTTACAATTTCTTCGAATGTGGAGTCAGTGCAGTCAGCAGCTCGTTATAGGGTGGCAATTTTTCAACGTTAACGACCTATTTTCGCCTTCCGCCTCACTGAGCACTTAGAGGCAGCTGCCTCTTGTCCACTGAGTTGACGACACCGGCACGCACCGCCCCACTCGACTGCTCGCACGGCACTGACTCTTGGGGCGAGGGTCACGGCTTAAATTCTACGTCTTATTAAGGTTCGAAGGATAGGGTAACTTAACAGTAGAAAATTCTCTTCATATAAAATATTTAAGTTGGTTCAAGCTGGTAAATATATCAAAAATATATTCCTGCGGGGGAAAGCAGAAATTTCAATTCTTTAGATTTTATGATCTTGATTGGAACTCAATTCTAAAAAAAACATGGATGCGCAAAACTACTTAATTTGAAAAATATTTCAAATGGAACTGTTTGCAAACAGATTATTTCTGACTTGCCTTTTAAAGTAAAGCAAACTTCATCATAAAAATTTTCTCGGTCATTGCTTAAGTTCACAAATTAATAAAGACACTCGGTTATTCATATACAAAATGAAAATAAAATTATTATACGCGAAATACCCTCGCTTTAGCTTAGTTCTTCTCAAAATTAATGGTAATAATACACAAAAATCCATCTTTTACGCCGGAAATACTCACATTCTCTTAGGAGGGTTCATGTAAACACTTAACTTGAAAACATATTAAAAGCATCGGTTAATAAATAAAAGAAAATGTACGAATTATATATTATATGATATGTTTTAATAAATGATAAATTTAAGCTCATTAAGAAACGTTTTAATGAGCTCAGAATTAAGAAAAATATCTGTAGTAGGAAAGTTTACCACGATGCTGACAACTGCTTGTACATTATTTATTAAATGTTATGTACATTAATGTATGGACATGTACACTCAGAGCAAAGAGTGCACCCATAGTCTAAATTTCAATGCACTTTTTGCTACTTGTGGAAAGTGTGTCACTATTTAGACAACATGAGTCGTTAATTTTTCTCAGTGTATTATGCAATAATCGCGCTCATATCTTTTACTTCAAATTTTACAACGGGAAGATTATATAAAAAAAAATTCCAAAATCTTACTGCAATAACAACTGCTAGTGTTAAAAATAGGAAATATTGTGTTGGAGATTTTATGCTATTCTATTCTGTTAAAGATTGAAAGAAATTGATGCTCCATCTTTATTATATCGAACATTTAAAAATTTTTATCCAGTCTGCGTGACCGAGTAAAATCGCCTGCACGAGCGATATATAATTGATAATTGAATGTTATGAGTGTTTTATGTTCATTTCATTCAAGTGAATTCGGCTTAGATAATTAAATATTCGGTCTTCTTTCCGTAGAGTTATACGTTCAGTTTAGGCAATCCGAAGTTCTAAGTTCCGCTCTAAGTTGTATTCTCAGGGCCTTATTTGTGCCAAACAAAATAGTTTGAGCATTTCAATAAATTGTTCGATGATACATTTCAGCGAATAGATTATGATATTAATTGAACTCTATATCCTCGTCATCACTTAATAGTATCAGAACTGAATTGTAGTCAAGTTGGAAATATTGAGGGGAGAAGATATTTTATTAGATATTTGCGTGGTTGAGGCGCAGGGTGGAGATAATTTACTAAAATATATAATTTTATTAAACACGTACATCTTATTACGTCCATAACAATGACAAAAATAAGGAATAAGGAGGGATACAATAATTGTACATTAGGGGGAGGAAATCTAATAGGGATAATTACCAGGATCCCTGCTCAAGAATTTTAAGGATTTTTAGGTGGGAATTTAATTAAAATTTATCTTGATTGAAAGCATAGAATTAGATTAGAATTCATCTTGATTAAAAGGAATAGAATTTTTTTCTACCACTTACCTCTCGTGAACGATTTTAATTCCATCTGAAAGATTCATAATAGCTTATTAATTTGATTAAAATTTAATTCATACGTTCTGTGAACTTAATATTTGTTTGCTTTCATTTACTAAATGTTTGCTGTATATTCGGCATAAATTAGGCAGATAGTTTCGGAAAGAATCAAACCTTTATTTAACACGCCAGCGTGGAACGATGTTGTTTGT